AGATGCTAAGAAATTTAGCGAAACGTCGGGTTAAAACGTGAAGAACACTGTTTTCTTGCATAAAAAAGTACTGATCAATAAGCCTATAAAATGCCAAAAACAATCTACCATAAATTGATCATTAACTAAAAATCAAATTGTATAATCTCGGAAGGCCTGCCGAAGTATATATTTTTTATTTTATTAAACATCAACAAAGAATCACTACAACAAACATGCAGGACTTCTACAAACATATGAAGTATAAACACGGCGAACACACTGAAAAGATACAGTAAACTAAAACAGAAGTTAACCAAGCAGATGGCGTACGGTTGCCAGACGTACTGATTTTATCAGTACAGTACTGAATTTTCAACTCTTGTACTGATTTTATTCATTTCTTCAATCACTACGCTAATGTCCTGATTTTTCAAAATTTGTACTGATTTGTACTGAATTTTCTATTCAAACAAAATACGTTAATGTTTTCTTAAGGTTTTTACATAACGTTGGAACTTCCTTAAACTGTACTGTAAAAAATAAGAAGAATGTAATTTAATTATAGTTGACATGCTTTAGATAATGTTTGATATGGCCAAGAAGTTAATACAACAAAAATATCAATCGTTTTATGGCATATCGCCGGGTCGTTACGTACCAGTTGCGATAATATGATGGAGCTTAAAATATTTAAAAAGAAGGCTTAAATTTTTGTCGAGTGTTGTTAGTTGCCTCGAAAATAACTTTCAGTTTAATAACAATACATTTCAATATTCGAATGGCTTTTGCCTATAATTTACAACTCCTTTTTCTCAATTTACTGACTCTGTAAAAGAGTTTTGCATACAAGGCATAGAGTTAGATATTCTTTTTAGCGAATTCTTAGTCTATCACAGTTTTTGCCTAGTTGAAAAATTATTTAAGCCATGAGGAAATATAGGTAACTCTTTAAAAAGTGGTACTTTTTTACAGTATGAGAGGATCTTAAGAATAAAGTTTGTTTCCTGGCGCAAAGAGAGAAACCGGTTTTTAATTAAAATTTTTGAAAGTGAACTTCAAATTAAAAGTAATTTTAAAATGAAATGTATAGAATTCGTTGACTATTTAAACAATGAAAATGGGAATGATTTCATTATTGCTATTCAAAAATGTCATAAATATAAAATAATTTATTGGCTGATGTGTACACTCATGTTGAAATGAATAACATTTTTATATTTTATGAACTACTAGTGAACCCGTATGGCGTTTTTGTTTAAAATATTTTTTTTTTTATAAAAAAAGGTATTTTTTCCTTTTAAATGTTTTTTCTCAGATTTATACATAAGAAGTATACAAATTGCATATTGCGTCACGTTTACGACGACATTATTTTTTTTTAAAGTCAGGTCAAACTTGTTTGAAATATAAGGTTTTTAATTTTTCGAAGACCCGACCTTTGACCCCTTTATAGCACCTGTAACATAGAAAAAGTTATATATCGTTTAAATAAGAGAAAAGGGCGTACCACGACTATGTTTTTACTTTTTTGAGTAGTTTACATACAGTAATTAAACATTTTTACCAAAGGTCCAATTTCGAACTTCGAAGGAATAACGGAGAAATTACTTTTTTACCTATGACTCAATCTCTTAAAAAAATTGGTTTGGTCCAAAACCCAGAAAGAAGTTGGTTTTGCCGTACAGTGTTATTGCTATTCAAAAAGTCACAAATATAAAATAATTTATTGGCTCCTGTGAATAATGATGTGTACACTCGTGTTAAATTGAATAACACTTTTATTTTTTATGAACTATATTTTATTCATATACCAAAATATTGTTAAAAACAAGAACTCACGCGTTTTAAATATTTTCTGTTACTTACATTCATAATTTTGCTTTGATTAAAAAAAAAAGTACTGATTTTTTTTAGCATGAAAAAGTCTAATATACTGATATCGCGCATAAAAATTCTGACAACCCTAAGATGGCGCAACTTAAGTTCTTATTAGAATGCAGGAAATATAATCTATTACCAAATGAATTGACAAACGCAATCAAGAATGTCAATATAAACACCACATCCCACAAACTAAAACCTCAAACCGAAAAAACAAAACAACTTTTTTTAAGAAAATACTCAATATACAAATTACACAAACAAACATGAATATTAGAACTTCTAAAACCCACATACACCACGCGCAACAACAACTTAAATACACTATAAGCGAAACAGAACTGGATTCCTATATCTGCAAGCAAAACTGCCTCAGCCAAAGCATTAAAAAAGAACGAAAAACAATACAAACATCTAAACTGGAGAGACTAAAACACCAACAAATGCAGAAGTTGGGAATAAATTTAAACAACGATTGGTTTGTTAACAAAACGGATATAGATCTCCCGGCAGAAACAATGTGGCTGCTTTCATTAGGCAGAAAATTTACACTACCCACAACGAAGACTAGTTTCCAACCGATCCGAATGATAGAAGAAATTGAACAAATCATACAACAAGAAAAGGATGACAGAGCCAAGGAAATTGCAAGATGCAAACTCAGCAATAATATAATACAATTTAAACGGAATATAAGACACAACTCAGCAGAAAAATGTATACTGGAAACATTCAACAAGACGAAAACTTTCTTAAAGTCGCACAAAGACGAGATTATCTTAACAGAAGGAAAGGAAACAAAACAGTGGTAATATACAAAGAGGACTATATAAAAAAGATGAATAAACTACTTGACGACAAAAATACGTATAAAATAGTAAGAAACGATCCAACTAACACGCCACAGAGGAAGAGCAACACCCTGGTTGACGAATTGTATAAAAAGCAGAATTATTGACTATAGAGGTAAACAACAACTCGTATGCACAGCAGCGATTGCACCTAGACTTTTCGGACTTCCAAAGATCCACAAACCAGACTTGCCTTTAAGGCCAATTTGTTTGTCCATCAATGTTCCGTGTTATGGTTTGTCCAAAAATGTAGGTAAGATTCTCAGTAACCTAATTTCTGAGGAATACAATATAAAAAATGCGTTTCGATTAAAAGATAAACTGGATAAAATAAAAGTAAGTGAGGAAGAATTGCTGGTGTCCTTTGATGTGGTATCTTTGTTTACTAACATTCCGATACCTTTAGCAATTAATATCATCATGTCAAAATGGAGCACAATTAAACAGTCGATGAGCATCTCCAAAAATAAATTTATAAATATCCTTAATTTCTGCCTGAAAGATAACAATTATTTCGCGCACAACGGAAAATTCTATGTACAAACCTTTGGAATGCCAATGGGAAACCCTTTCTCACCAACTATTGCTGACATTATAATGGACGATTTACTGAACCTAACTATGTTAGAACTTAAGTAAAACTTTGAAATTGATATAAAATTAATACTGAAATATGTGGATGACATTTTTGCCATAGTTAAACGAAACGACGTGGACACCATATTGAAAACACTTAACAAATATCATAAAAAATTGCAGTTTACAATATGTTTAATTTTTGAGTAGGTTAAGGGGAGCGCCGGGTGCGCCTGAGGAATTTAATAAATAAAACACCGAGGATTGTAATTGAAATTAAAAACG